CTCTGAGTGGATATTAAGAGGAGGAAGTTGGCGGTGTTACATATATCTATTCCAGAAAGTTTGATTGAAGAAACAGTCAGTTTCCTACTTGAAAGCAGGATAAGATAACTTAGCTGGTCGGTTTTTTTTTTTTAAAAGATGATATTGAAGGACAAGTGCATTAACAATTTGTAATTATGTTTCTTGTTCCAGTTTTGCTCTTGTTTACATATGTAAATACATACAATTAATTAATGAGCTGATTAATTATTTCTTCTCAAGGGGACTTATTTCAAACTTAGTGACATTTGCCATCTTTTTCTTTAAGTTTGTTGTGAAAATTCAAAAATTACCTTTATTTAAAGGAATAAAGTTCCAAGATAACTAGAAATATGTAGTACTAACAACTAAAAGGTATTCTCTAGTAAAATTAACCATTGATAACAAGTAAACACAGTGGGCAAAGGCATTCTTTGAATTTTCAATTTATTTTGTCGAGATAAAAACCTTGATAGAGATTTCATTATGATACAGTATTACATGTCATCACATACCGCATTATGCTGACTAATGCTTTGGCCTGGTAGGTATCAGAGGGGACCGTCCTCTTAAAGTATTTGTATTTAACATTGTCGCTCAGTTCCGGGGTTGTGGCAAAGTAGCTTATCTGTTTAAAAGAGGGAATATTGTACAACCAGACATAAATAATTATTGTCAATAAATTGTATTTCAATACAAAGCATTATACAATAACAAGAATTGAAAACTGGGTATATACCAATCATTTATTAACCTTACGAAATATGTGAAGATAACGAACAGTGATCTATCTAAAAATCGAAGGGGTTTGTCATCATAATTGTATAAGGGAATAAAACTTCAGATATCAGTTTTATTGTGTCACAATAAACACAATAAATAATTTGCGCATCACGATGTTATCCCCGTCTGTCAAACATCTGTTCTCCTTCTACAAGCTAATAACTAAAAACCATTGTACCTATGATTCGTCACGTTGTGCAGATTCACAATGATTTGATTTGAAGCTTGTAATTTGGCCCTAGAGGCCTAAAAGATGTGATCTGAGAATTAGAATTGTCATTCAAAATTCTTCATTTTAAGTGGTTGCAATATAATTCATTTTGCGTTTGATTGGTCATAACCTTAATCTCAACTATCTTCTTTGGTATATATTTCGTAGATATATGCTAATAAGCATGTCTTGAATGCTGTTTGTGACCATTATATACTGGATAAATGATCAATTTAAAGCTGTCGATGTTGTTCCAGCAGACCAGGGGCCTGTTTTACAAAAGAACTTACGACTAAGACTAAAAACTTTAAATAATTGAAAAATCTTACAAAACTTATGGTTCTGTTAAAAATTGTTTGCATAAAAATATCTTTCTAAATTCCTTTCAAAAAGATGAAAACCATTTTCAAAGTAATGCAAAAAGGAAAGTTATTTGCATAATAACATGTTGATCTTAGTCGTAAGTTCTTTTGTAAAACAGGACCCTGTCCCCTTGTGGATTTGTCTTATAATGACATCCTGTGCGTCATAATCATATTTCATCTTCCATTGATGGTGTCAATAAGGACAGATAATACTGCGATACGGATACTGTATTAACTGGAATATCTTAATTTCGGAAGTCACTATAAGTCAGTCACGACGCTTCTGTTTTATGTGACCATTTTCCTAAAGTTTGTAAAAAAAAATTCATTGTTTTTCAAATGTTTACTATTCCAACGATTATCAATTGCAAGCTTGAAAAGATGTTGCCGACGGAGACCCAATCTTATTAAGGATGCTGCATGTTCCCTTATATTGCAAGGCTGATTGATTGGGTTAAAGTTTCCCAACGCATTCTAAGGGATTTATTATTTATGCAATAAAAAGTCTTTCATATTCTAAATTTAAATCTGGTCTACATATGGAATCTTTCATTGAACACACGAGTTTGAAAAACGATTTTTAGGGCCTAGACTCAAGAACTGCAGATATTTCAACTGCCACTCCTGATAGGATCTTATGGTTACCACTACATGTTTATTAAATGAAACATTTCCTAGCTTTCCGTCGCTCTGTATTTACTTGATAGAATATTAATGAAAAGATACTATGTGTATTGATTTAAAAATCATTCTTTTCGCTTAGAATTCATTTAAGAATGTAAGCATAATTTATACCTGTGGCACTTTAAACAAAGTGAGTAGATTTGCTACGTCTACTGTTTCCATGCTTCTGAGTGGCCCAATTACACCAACGACGTTGTTAGTTTCGGACAAAGAAGTGCAGTTCTGAGGCCTATTTGATTGTGAGTTATATCGCTTTTGTGCGAACTCAAGCGCATGTTGTAGTGATATGCCTGTATCAAAGCAAGAATCCCTAGCCAGTAATCCTAGAGAAAAACCTTTTTCTCTCAGATGATCATTCACTTCCGTCAGAGCAAAGATTGTCGCCTCCAGAATCTGAATCCCGTCTTGTCCGTTCACCTGCGGAGTGCAGATTCCGTCTTTGGAGTCGTGTATTGGAAAGAGTGCTCCTAAAACAAAGTCTCCTGGGATATATACCTCTTTGACAGACTTTAGAGCAAAGCAGCGTCTCGCAAAACAAGCAAACGTGATAAGATATACAATTTTTTTCTCCATATTAAAATGGGACTATATTGTTAGTAGCATATTGTGCATTTGATATATAAATTTGTTTTTTCTTTCTGTTTAAAAAGCAATGATTGGAGGATTTATATCTTGTTGGAAGGAAGGAAACAAAAACTTACGGCATCTTAAAGTGGATACAAAAAACGTAGCATTCTAAATTATCAGATTTGTGCAAACTTAAGCCATTCCTTCCGAACTATAACAAGGGAAGCATAAGATTAATCTGATTTTACTGTAATTCAAATTTTAATTGGATTCAACTTCAAATAAGTTGACATTCTCACATATGAAATATGGAGATAACGAAAACTATTCAAGATCAAAGTTCATTAAAACAATACAAATCGGGAGCAGGGCAAACACGGACCTCTAAAACATCAGAGATTTGACCAGGTCCCATTCAGGTGTGAGCATCCCTTGCCGAACGGTCACACCCGCCGTTAACTTACCTCGTTTTAGAAAGTGTTCATACGTAGAACATGCTCTTGTGTATCGAATCAACTGAGAGATATACACCACATATGCAGGTGATAAGGGTATACTGCTGCATAAGTAAGGGAAGTTGAAGAATGAAAAGTTAAAGTCATAACGTTTATCATGAAGCTTTCTTGTTAGATAACCATTAAAGTTTTTTTTTTTTTGTAGTAAAATATCCTGATATGAAGCAATTAACTAGCGGATTTAGCTGGGGCGTCCCCCCCTAAAATTTAGGTTTAGATGGGGCGTGCCCCCCCTCCCCCCCCCCCCCCCCAAATCTAGGTTAGGTTAGATAAGATTTTATTTGTATTAAACAGCATCAAAGTGCTTTGAAAGTTACTTTACGAAGTACGATTTTTGGAAATCAGTTTTTCGATTCAGCGTCACGTGGATTGTACCTGGTTTCAAGCTATCAAAATCACGGGGAAATAGTTTCCGTCTTTTTTAACAATACAGATTATCTCTCGGCTCTACTTGATTTCAAATGAAGGACACATTTTTCTTATTATGATTTCACTTTACTTGTCTCACAACTTGAAAGGGGAAGAAAAATAGTTTTGTTATCAAAAATAAAAATGGCGATCATTGATAGACAAAAATTCAATATGCTTAATCTTTCGAGGCAATTTAAAATAAATCTAAGGCATGTGAATTGACAACATTGGCATTTAAATGTCTTAATGAAGTTTTAGAATAAATTTCTCCGATAGAGCTAAAGTCTTGAAGCTAGTTTTGAAGAGGTATCTAAAAATAGTCCACTGTGAAATCATCTTTAACCGTGGTAGTCAATGTTCGTGGACAAACGAAATTTGAGTGATTCGTTGGGAAATAATGTCATAGATAACTCCTGTATTCAAAATACATAAGAGACCGTTACATTGACAAATTGTTCGTAAGGATGTTATTGTTTGCGTTAGTGTGACCCACGAAATTCATGAATATTGGGTTCCAACGATCAACGATGATTCCACAGTAGTTAGTTTTGTATATTAATAAGATATAATAACTAAGATGAATATTAAATATTAAATCTCTGAGAAAAATGAAACACGTCATAGGAAAACCTTCTATTTATCGAGGTTTTACTCTTTTTATGAAATTTAAAGATACTTAGAATAATTTGTATGACTTTTTTGTTTATTCATTCATTTATTTATTTTGTTTTATTTTTCTAACAGATTTTCATCAGTTGCACAGCGAAGTCTATATAAATATATATATTTATGGCTAAAATTTCACTCAAATTTCATCCTGATCACTGTTCGATAAAATCTTTATATTATCAATTTCCGAATAAAGTGATTCTTTCAAAAATGAATGGAGTGGTATCCAGGCCAAAAGTGTTCAGACATGATGAAGTCGGGTTGCAAAACCAAGAAATTAATATAAGTGGAGAGGCTCAATGACGAGCAACAAGCTAGACAGCCAAACACATCTAATAAGAAAAAATGCATACAAGCTAGACAGCCAAACACATCTAATAAGAAACAATGAATACAAGCTAGGCAGCTAAACACATCTAATAAGAAATAATGCATAACTTAATTATGTATGTGAACAACGGCAGAAAGATGATGGGGTGTAATACGTAATTTGAAATAATAACCTGTGATTGAGATTTCTTTTATTTTCTTCAATCTTTTTTCCGCATTTAAATTAGCATACTGCATAGTACTGATCATGAGAAAACGATAGACCGTACATACATCACATATATTTCATAAATTAAAGCGCATAAAGCATACATTACGAGAATCCCATTAAACTATCATCATATGATTTAATAAATCTTCAGATAATTGCATAATATATTGACTAGTATTTTACAATAATTTTATTAAACAATAATAGATGAGTTGTAATACAAATGAGTATTTTAAACCATATTGCGAGTGAATTCAAATAAATAACTCTGAACATATGAGTATTGACACTAAAAATACACAAATCAATTGAAATCCTGGAAATTTAAGTGTTTTTAAAATGAACATCCGGTAAGGATTGAGACAGCCTTCTGACCGTCTTCTCTGATGCGCTGTTCTCATTTCCTTTCTCAATTATATTCTCATGGCTGACGTGTGCTTTCTGTGATTTGTGTGACGTGATGCGTTTAAAGAAACTACTCGGCTTGAATCCTATGCTTTTAATAAAGTTACCTTGGTTTTGATGTTCTGCAGTTCTTTCATCCTCATCAAATGCATTTTTGTTTTGCAAAATATCACCATTGGCTTTATGATTTGTCAACCTTTCGTCTGCTTTTATATTGTCTAAATCCTCTTTATTTCCTAGGAGTTTTTCACCACTGTTTCTGTTTAGCGAATTGACAACAATTTCGGCTTCCTCGGAATATTTCTCCGATCTGTCGATAATGATAGAGTTCTTAAAGGGTAAAGTTCCGGTTGTTGCGGAGTAGTCTTCTCCTTCTTCCTCCGTGTCGTCTGCAACTACATGTATAAGAAAAATAACGATAAAGAAAACAATTCACGATTATTTACTGTATTATCATTTTAATTCCTTAACTTGTTTTCATGAATTAATTACATATTTTACTCCAGAATACTTTTGTTAAGGTATGAACAATACAGATACAAATGGCAAAAAACAGGGTAATGAACAACATTCCTTCAAAATCAGTTCTGAAATTCTTTAATTTCGTATACTCAAAAGGTACAGAAAATAAAACCACATTTGCATTGAAATCTAAGAAATGATCAGCACCAGATATGTTCATGTGATGTACGTACCGCAGGCTGAGGAGAGCTTTCTTGTACAGTTTGTGGATGTTTTCTCCTCCAAAGTCACACCAAATGATTGCCTCTTTTCAAAAGCACGACTGCCTTGAAAACTTCCGCTGTACGAGTCTCGACTTCGACTCGGTGTGGTCCTCATGACTCGCTCTTTGTTGTTCTTCTCAGGGCGAAAAATCACAATATATATCTTAGTTATAAAGAGACATAGTAAGCAAGCTGTACCGTGAATGATCAACGATATGGAAAGGGACATAACTTTGACAAGTTTATTTTCAGAAAAGGTATAAAGAGGGATGAAGGCGATCCAGAGTACGAAAGAAGTAAAAGAACAATACATAATCTCGTGGGAATCGTTCATGCCATCTGGAAGCTTTCTTGTTTTAATTGCAAATACCAAACAAGCAATCATTAACAAGAATGAGAAGGCAAGGCTTACGAAATAGCTAAAGTTGTCTAGATCTGCACACGACAGATTACCAAGGGCTTCCTCGCGTGTTACGGAGTATTTGACTACTGGTAACGGAGTGTCCCCAATACTCCAGAAAACTAACGCAAGGAAGTGTAGTCCTGAGAGCGTCAGTGATATTACTAGGGCTGTTTTCATAGTGCAAATATTTCTGTTGAATACTGTTTGTCCCTGAATTGATTTGTTCTTTATCGATGACTGCACATCAAAAGCTCGATTGTAAACCATCAGTTTGGAAAAAATTGAAGAGTACGCCATTGTGTAACTAAGACCTAGAAACACTCTGAAGAAAGCACACGAAGCCACAGTGGGTTCACTTACAAGAATGAATGGAGAGATGTAAGAGAAAAGTATTGCAACCAGCAGGACTATACTTGTCTCAAAACCAGTGGCCTTCACTATGGGTGTAGTTCGTTTGAGAATAAAAACAACAGACACAACACAACAAATGATGATCCCAAGACTAGATAAAACAAAGATCACTAGAATGGACGGATTGTTGTAATGAAGATGATCGACAGGAATAGCCACACAAACGTTCTGTGAAGGATTGGATGTCCAACCAGAGTAGATGTCACACGTCTGACAGTTGAAAGGATCAGAAGCATTTACAATCTCTGTGTAGTCGCAATCCTTGCACTCCCAGCAACAAACCTCGCCTCTACTCCGAAACTGACCATTCTTACAAGGCACCGAACACACGGAAGCGGTGTATTTAGATCTATTCATTGTTTTCCAGATCAATTCCTGTCCAGAATCTGAAATATTGTATATCATTTAAAAAATTAAATAGATTATTGCTTTTCATATAATTTAAATTGAATTAAATCCCCTTGTACATAGAACATTAAATGACAGACATTATCAATACATTTGAACACGTTTTTGAAAACTGAAAATGGACATTAACATAACTGTTTAAAAGTTTTACATGTATATAATAAAAAATAGAAATATGCAATGTTGAACAATTCATACAATTTCCCTTTTCTATCCAGGTATAATCATTTTGCTGCCTCTTGTATTGTAAAACACTGTATCGAATGGGACCATCTCTACCATTTTCAAAGTGGAAGCTCGTGCTAAATGGGTCTATATTTAAAGAAAGCAAAACCGGGTAAATGTGATTAAATTATACATAAAGATGCGTTAACAGTCTTTTTCTCATTAAAGTCTTATAAATTGAAAAGTGTACATCAAAGCTGTACTGTGCTTTTTTTAAGGAGTGAAAATTGATCAATAAATGAAAATACTAAAGATTTCTTTTAGTTTCTTACATGCTACATGTACTCACTTGAAACATTGGACAAATATTGGAGTATCAATTCTCCTGTAAGGTTAGATTTCATTCGCTTACACACGCCCTTCTTTTCACCACAAAGTAAAGTGTGAATATTATCCAGGGCACTCCCAAAAGAGTAAACAGCATTTCGAACATTGTAGGCTGTTAACAATTCCCTGAAATCTAGAAAGCATCTTAACCATTGAAAAAACTACAAAACGTGGGAGAAAAGATAATTACACTGTTTATAAAACAAAATCACTTTGCATTTACAAGAGCTCTATATCTTTGGATGTTTTTACAAAGTAAAATGAATCACGTTTTTGTTGCTGTTTTGAAACTATTTCTATTACTACATTATTCATATCTGATCAGACTTTCCTTTTGACCGTAATATACTTTTGTCATCAGAGTGAGTGTTTACTTGTATATTTTAAATATCATTTTTTGTAACTTTGAATCAGAGCTGCATTAATCTGCAATTTTTAAAACCATTACACGTAAAATGTATTTAGGTTCAGAAAATCCCCTGTTTACCACTTCATTTCTAGATCAATTCACTCAAGATTGCTTTTGCACCCATTTGAAATATACTTTATATTTTTCAAAAGAAAGGTATCGCTTTTTTAAAAAATCATTTTCATTTAATCATAACAATTACTATTAAATTTGCTTCTATTTTATTCCCTATCTTGTTTTCAATTATTTCATGACATAATTATGTATTTGAAATACTGATAATATCTGATGTCATTCTGTTTTATCTGATGCCATGGTTTAAAATCAAGCTGTCAATGTGACATATTCGACTTCGTTGTCATTGTAATGACTTCTGATTTTGTTGTCACTGAATTATCCTCTGATTCTGTTGTCATTCATTTAGTTTCGTTGTTATTGAAATGACCTTTGATTTAGTTGTCATTATATTGACCTCTGATTTAGTAGTTATTGGAATGACCTGTGATTTAGTCGTCATTGTATTGACCTCTAATTTAGTTGTTAGTAAAATGACCTCTGATTTAATTGTTATTGAAATGACCTCTGATTTAGTTGTTATTGTAATGATTTAGTTGTAATGGAATCCAATTTATTTGTCAGTGTGATGACTTTTGATTTAGTCATTATCTTAATCACCCATGATTCTGTTGTTATTGTATCTATCTCTATGTTTGTTTACTTTCCATTACCTTTGATTTCGATGTCAGTACAACTATTCTTCTTGTCAGTTAGAGAACAGCTGTAACGTTGTTTTAAGTATTCACCAAACCAGGGGTTAGGACTTCTACTTATATTTATTCTAAAAGCAGAAAAAGGATATGTCATCAAAATGTACTTTATTTAACTTTTATTTATACTACATTTATGATAGCAAACCTATACTTGGCCCATTCACTACTCCCTAAACATGTAATGCATAATAATAATAAACTCAAAATGTTAATCATGAAATTTTACCATTTATTTTCTGCCCTTCTTAGATTATTTGACAAAAGGTAAATAATCACTATTCAAATGTAATTGAGTGAATATAAACAGCAAAATTGTCCATAATGCTTAACGGTTTCATTAACTTTTTAAGCATATTTTTAACCGCCATGCAAAAATGGGTTGTTCTTACTTTCTGAAGTACTCGGCAAATCCCGGATAACTTCTGGTTTCAGGGCTGATCCCTATAGCTCTTTCAATAATTTTCTTTTGTCCACTAGGTGGCTCCCTTCCTATCCAAGCATCACCTCCGACCCAAATGACGTCAGAGCTATTATGAGATTGATCTACCATCTCCATAATTCTGTACGCCAGGGCATATTGCATGAACAAAATAGCAACGACTTTCCCTAAAAATATATATTTATATAGTAATATACCCAGCTACGTAGCTACGTTTTTCAAAGGATAGAGGGATGGACAGTTAAAAAAAAATAATTGACAGCATACAGAATGTACCTGAAAAGTAAAATATAGATTAATATCCTACCCAATGAGATCATGTTTGGATCGCCTTTTCTCTGAATTGACAAAATTATCTATAAATTTTACTGTAAATGAATACGGACAGATGTTATAAAGGTACTATTTGTCGGAGACGTGAAAAAAGACTCATAATTCCTGGTCCTAAAAAGCTATCATTACATCGAGGTAAATGTGTGGCATCAAAACGATGTAACTTGGGCTTAGACTTAGACCTTTAATTATATACTTGATTTTGTTAAAGTGTTTAATACACAATATTCTATTCATTATCTTCATGTTGATTACACAAGCTTAATTATAATCTTATAAGGGTACTGAACCACCACAAATCATTAAGGATATTGCATTTGAATAGTTATTCCGAGTTTAATTAGCACTGCATATGCTTAGTTATTAAATAAACTGAATGTTTATAAATAGGTAGCTATAATATTTCTTTCTGTATGCTCAAAAACTAAATGTAATTTCCCTTTTTATGCTTTCGAAAGTTAATCATGTTGTAAATTTTGAATTAACTAGGTGGAGATGAATGCAAAATTTACAACTAATAGCTAGTTATCATGTTGTAAATTTTGCAATTAGCTCCACCTGGTAAATTCAAAAGGACAAGGTGCGTTTGAGGTAAAATTCGGCCCCGTGTCAAAATTAAATAATATTCCTCAAAACTCTTTGAGAGAGTATATATTTTCATGAAATTATCAATATATGCATGTACAAAACTTTATTTTTGTTTTATATAAACGTAAAAGTAGCATAGTTTACGCTAACGTTGCGATATTTTGACATTGCTTTATGCGACGTCATGAACAAGAATTTAACGTCGTTTTGAAATAAATCCAGCTTACATGTATATTTTATTATGTACGTTAATTAAATCTCATTTTCATACACGTACATTCCGATGTATTGGTATACATGTGATAGCATATCATGCTTTCTAAATTATTTTTCATAATTAAAGACAAATCTTTAAATCAATTGCTATGGTTGGCTTTGAAAATTTTTGAATCATAAGGGAAAAAAGGGGTGTACATGTACAGTACATTCTTAGCGGATTTCTCACTTTCCACGCCTCGCATCGGCATGCACAAGCAAAGTTATTGGCTTTGTTTGTTAACTTGACGAACTGTAATTGCCAAGCTTTGTAAAAAAGACTAAAAGACCGTAAGACTTTTTCTTGAATTTTGATTGCAGGTGTTCAAGAACATGATTTTGTGTGTAATAATGTCAGTATGGCTCGCAAGAATTTGGTCTTCCTGCTTATCTGCATTATATTTAAAAAAAAAAAAATTACTTCTCAAGTACTTGACATTGCTTTTTGTGGATTGATTTACATAATTTTACCTGTGTCTATATTATAATATTTTATTTGCGCTGTCCAGAGGCAGAGCCCATCCTTGAAAAAAGGAATGCATGCGAACCTTCGTGTATTCTTTTCTTTCAGCAGTTTCGGAAACATTCCAACATCGAAGTTATCAGCTATTAATATCAATTTTTCAACAACAACAAAAAAAGAAAAAAGAAAAAACGCAGGTTGTTTCGACATGAATATATTAGGATCTACGGGTTTTTGGACAGACAGCATGTTTTAACGATGTTTTATACGTGTTAACCTATACATCTTCACAATGTCAAAGCTTTGTGATATCGTTTCTTTTCAAACCTTTTTAAATAGGACCTTGACATTGTGAAGATGTATAGATAAATACGTAGATGACCTACAATCTACTTGGTCTTTTAACGATGTTTAAGAGACTTTCACAATTAATTCATCCTCGTGGTAGAGGGGGAGCAAAAGGTACTACCTGGTTCATAGAGGATTTCGCGGAAAAGAAAAAAAAAATAATAGTACTTCACGGTAAAGAAAGATTTGAAAAGAAAGAAAAGCAATGTCGACTCGCGGAAAAATGTAACAGGGCATTGAGAATTTTCCTGTAATTTTTCCCAGAAAAGGGAGTGAGGTGTTCCATACCAACTCAAAAAGAAAAAGAAAAAAGATCGACCCAAATTAAAGGAGAAAACCTTATTTTAAAAAAGAAAACTAACCCAAACCCGAAAACCCATTTTGAAAGGGGGTGTCACTTTACCTTCCTACATATCTTACAAACTTTACAAAGTTTTCTTAACCCTTCCCCCTTCATATTTTTGGTATTTTACTATATGAATTTTATACAAGTGGTGGGTGTTGGGGTAGGGTCCGGATACCCCCCCCCCTCGCGGATCCCTTACTACTTCCTCTAAGTAATCTATAACTTTGTGACGACAACCTACGCATGCAAGCGTGTGTTTTAAGGAAGCTCTAAACACCAATTAGGAAAAAACATTTTTTAGACTTTGAGAACATTTTATCATATAAAGGTGTACATTATGAGCTAATCCAGTTCATTTCAAGGATAAAGTGCCTGCCTTAAGACAATCAAGTGTTAGTTAACAGATTTCACTGTTGTTTACTTATATGGGTAATCAATATGTATATACTGTATTCAATTACTTTATCTTGGTCTAATATAATGTTAAGAATACCTCAATTTAATATTGTGAACCTAAGTTAACCCTTGAAAGTAGATGGCTTTTTGTTCATAACAAACAGAAAGCAATATTAATTTTATTTCGATATTCAGGGGAAAGGAAGCAGACAGTGCAGTTGATACTTTTTTTTACATGTTTTATGGGCGGAGGTGAAGGGGGGGGGGGGGGGTCTATTCAATGATAACTTAGATTACATGAAATATTTATAGTTCCTGTATCACATATTGTAGGCGTAGAAATTAAAGCAAAATAGTTCTACATTCAGTCTATTGATAATTAATTAAATGTATATTTTCAAAATGACAAAAATTAAAAAAGTAATAAAAACAAGAAGTCTGTGAGCCAATGCTCACTAATAATACCTCCGCTCTGATGTGAATACACAAGTACATTTTTGGACAGACACAGGGATAAACAAGAAGTTGACATCAGATTCATACAAAAATGAATCCCACCATATGACATGCCTAAACAATGAGTGTGCTAAACTTTCAAGCATCTGAAAAAAGTAGTTGCTGAGAAATCTGCAACCTGAATTTGTAATGTATGGTACGGACAGACGCACGGATAAACAGGAAGTTGACGTCGGATTCTCACAAAAATAAATCCCACCATATGGCATGCCTAAAAAAAGAGTGTGCTAAAATTTCAAGCATCTACGATGAATAGTTGCTGAGAAAACTGCGACCAAAATTTGTTATGTATGGTACGGACAGACGCACGGATAAAAAGGAAGTTGACGTCGGATTCTCACAGAAATGAATTTAATTTTTGAAGATTCATGAGGACATGAACTACGACGCTTCACGCCGGCATATTTCATGAAGCGCGTTAGCGCTTCATGATAAATATGCCGGCGTGAAGCGTTGTAGTTCATGTACCTCATGAATCTTCAAAAATTAAGATCATTTCTTATATTTACATTATTTTCTGATGAATTACATCAATTTACATCATTCAACTGTCATTTTTAAAGCAAAACAGTTTGCACTATAGTTTTGACGTCAAGTACGGTATTATGACAATGGAAATATTCATGCTCGTCCATGGTAGTTCATGAGAAAATGAAAAGTCTTTTAATTTGCAAAGAATCTTAAGGAAAAACCTTTGGAAATGTAAATATACAGAAATGAATCCAGACCATACGGTATGCCTAAACAAAGAGTGTGCTAAAATTTCAAGCATCAGCGATGAGTAATTGCTGAGAAAACTGCGACCAAAATTTGTTACGGACAGACAGACGGACACACACACACACAGACAGACACACATGGCTAAAACAGTATACCCCCCTCTCTCCTTCGGAGCGGGGGTATAAAAATTGTCGTGGGAAAAGTATCATTATGTTCAAAGTGGTAATGAAATATCAAGTAAAACTTTACCATATACACATGTAGGGGGCAGGTTAAGATTTTTCCGACATGAAACATTTTCCAATTCGAACCAGCATTGAAACTACGTGCCTGAACGTTACGTGTGGATAAATTGAGAGTATAAACAGGTTAAACAAACAAAATATACACATGCGAAAAAAAATCTCAATCAAGGAGAGGGGGGGGGGGGACGCCCGGCACGCTGGTGCTGGATCCGCCTTTGAATACATATACGCACTAGATTGTTGATATTGATATCCTGGAAGTCATTATTCCAATGACCAGTAAGCATGGTGAGAACGACATTTTCTACGAAATCCAGCACCATGGAATCCATTTCACAATAAACCCGATGCTTATACATCGTAAATGCATTTATTAAATAAATCATTTTCTATGTTCTATGACACCCTGTTTATATTTTATTTTAATTTTTCCCTCCAGTTGGAACAATTAACAAGAATAAAATCAGCTATATTTTCTACTATCACTGCATTACATGTATGAGCCCTGTTCGAGAATATTTCACTTATGCACACTTGTCAGATATCCGTGGATATATACTTATCATTTCTTAGCAAAGATTAATATCTGCTTTAGTAAACAAGTCAGAATTTCAGTTTTGCATGTGCGCGCAGATAGGCAATACTTTTTCGGATATTAATACAGAAGGATAACAAGCAAACGATGTGACAATCAAAGGGAAACACTTTTTTATCCTCTGCCATTCGTTACTTCTATATTATATTTCTATATACCATTCATATAGGTCTGTCGATCTACAGTAATATTAAGAACATAAATTTAGAGGAGCAATTGGACACGACCCCCTCCCCCCCTCCGATATCATCACTCAAGTAGTAATTTATAACCCCAAACAACCCCACCCCAAGTTCATTGTTTTCTTTTTCTTTTTTTTTTTTTTTTACATTATGTAAATATTACATCCAACCTTTATTTAATCGCTATTAAGTACATAAAATGCTATATATTACCCCTTTTTGACCATCTCGAGAAATGATGTGACCGAAATACATTTATGTGATGTATATGGATTTACGGGTATTTTTTATGGAACTCTTCAAAAAAGCTAATTGAAGTCATTGATAAAACATTTATGACAATCTAAATTATGTTCGGAACTGATCTACACTGCACATGTTTTATACTGAGAGGCGCATTGTTAAACTATTGTGATATTTTGCCAATTTAATTGCCTTCTATCTTGGAAACTTAGCCTCTAATTTTCACTATAATAGCTTAAAAAAATCATGTCCTTGTACATGTAAATGGTCCATTTTCCCAACAGGCCAAATAAATCGGCGAAACCATTGTGACGTCAATGTTCATAAATGACGTATATTGTTTTATAATGTTCAGCTTGGCATGAATATGGACACAAGCACTGGGTAATAAATAAACTAGATGTAAAATAATATTTATACAACAAGTGTAAATACTACATTTTTTTTCTGAACTGCTGCTTTTTTCAACCATCAAACGTCCAGATACAGTTTAACTCGGACCACTAGCTGTCGCTTAGTTAGGGAGCGCGGAAGTAAGATGCTATATATATACTAATATAGGCCCAATATATCTGAATTCCAATAACGTGTAAAGAATTCATACAGACCAGATCTTCATAACATTGATATAATGATTTCATCCTTTATATTAAAGGATTTTTATAGCGATACGAGGCGAGGAATATTCTCTATATTATTTAGATCTAGTAAAACACCTTCGAATGCATGTGTATTGCATGCTGTAAAATGAACACATTTTTTAAAAATAAACATGGTCCGCACAATATCACCATCGTAATTTTTTGCATATAAAATGCTTTCAAATCGATGTTTCATTTGTGAAAATTTCAAAAGTGGTGATATAATGCGGACCCATCGAAAAATGCTTTTAAGTCCTTGATTTTTAACGATTTTTCCGGAAATACGCATTCTGTCCATGATTTGACCACGAATAAACAGTATACAGGGACACATTCTCAAAGTTTGGGTTTATTTTTTTAACACGCATATATCCAACCTTTATTTCCAATGTAAAGTTTTGATTCAGCGTAAACTTTAATTTTTAGAAATTCTTAGGGCCAAATATTAAATCAAATGAACCTTGTCCTTTCTAACATGATGAGTTGATGAAAGTATAAGTTCCAATAATTTATAATACCTAGATAAATGGAATGACTGTGGTGTATCATTTTGAATTGTTTTAAACTGTTGATTGAGGAACAAATATATCAGATACGTACAACTCATTCACAACAAACTTGGCAACCAGTAAAATTAAACAAGTACATGTGCCTATAAATACACAAGCTGTACAAAAAGCAAGAAACATAAAAAACGGAAGTAACATTTAGATTCTAAGCATACAGGAAAAAAATATAACATCAACATATTTATAAAGATTCAGTTGAATTAATAAAATATTTAAAATATGATCAGAACATCAGTTCAAAACATCTTGAATCGATGATGAAATCAATAGTCCTATAATTTATCATACCTACGTAAACAAAATGAATATGGTGTATCATATTGAATTGTTTCTGAATCTGAAAAACAATACTTTTTGGATTGAAATATTTATATTGATGAATGAATATTAGATATGTACAACTCAAAAATAACAATCTTGGCAAGCAATACGTGTGGGTATCAGGCTTGGGGCGAATTAAATTGTAAAGTAATGCCTTACATTACCATTACTTCAGGAATCTGGGCATTAAATTACCATTACCAATACTCTAGTTTCTTAAAGTAAATAACTTTCATTACCATTACTTTAGTAAAGTAATGCATAACCATTACTTTTGTGGGTTTTCAAAAATAGAAATACAAAACTTTTGCTTTTCATAAACATGCACACCCCTTAAAAACTAAACTTGATGAATGTTAATTCAAATTTAACATTCTTAATTAAAAGATATGATATTTAAAACAGATTTCAAGTACTTGTATTTATTACACTGTAAATAACTTACATATTTTTTTATTATTCATAAGAAGTTAAATCTTTTCAATTGCCAATGAGATAAAAACATGTACAATTTGCACTTTTTGTGTGATCATTATTGATGTCATAAAGCAATTTAACTTTTGGGGCACTTTAACCCCTCCCCAAAACTATCTAAATTAATAAGACATTGATTTTTAGATCTAGTACCTATGAAAAAAAAATAAAGGCACTGACGACTTGAAAAAAGGGTTTGACAGTATATACATTTTGCTCTGCTAAAAGTAGAATGCCTGTGTTCTATTCCTTTTGGATTTGTCATGGTCAGCTCAAACTAGACCAGCTCTTTTAATGTTTTATAAACACAATAGGTAGAAAGAGACTGGTTTTTGAGCACTTCTCAAAACAATACTTTGTTTTAATTGTTAAACCCTTGAGGCATTGTGTTTTGATGTTACTCTATTCAAAAGATGGCGATTATAAGTTTACAGTGTACATTAATTAGTGTACCTCATACCAGAATTATTTTTTAAAGTAATTTCTTAAAAACACTTTAAAATATTCTATGAAATTAAATATTATTTAAATTAAGTATGAAAATTTTATATGTGTGGTAATTGCACTTTCAACAGAATACACATTTTTAAAATAGGTATATACAAAATAATGCTTTGTAATGCTATGTAATGCCAGCATTACTCTAATTTTGAGAAAATAATGCATAACATTACCATTACATGTAATGCAATTATTTTGGCTGTTGTCTTACCGTTTGTGTTTTTCTTTTTCATTAAATCAACCACGACCTTTTCCAGTTCATCTTCTTTGGTGGATTCCTTTACTTTTTTATCGAATCCAAAACATATCCCAGCATCCTCTGCGGCAGCTATGATCTCAGTGTACCCTTCAATTCCATAGTTACTGTCTTCATAGAGGATACTGACATATTGCCAATCCAGAAAACTACAGTAAGACCAAAACACTACAATTTAATTCTTGATACAGAGACTCTATATTGTTTTCTTCTGAAAAGTATACCACTTTTCAGATATCTGGCTGCAGTATGATAATTTCGGTTGTCTTTATCATATACATATTTTGAGTAGGATTCATTAAAAAAACACCTATATCTAATTTGTTCATATGCCTATTATTACAATAAATGTCAAAAATATTGATACGGTACATATATATCATTACTATGGCATGTGGAGATAAGAAGCAGTAACCATACTGTAAAAATCAATTACACAATACAAAATGTGAGCAGAACAAACACGAATCTCTGAAAACATTAGTGGTACGATCAGGTACCATTGAGGAGTAAGCACACCCACCGCGTGCTTTTTGTCATGATCGGGCAAACGGAAAAATCCGTCGTCAATTCAATATGAAAAAAATGGCCTCACAATTTTGTATGAAAGATGTCAGTTAACAATCGATTTACAAAGAAGACCATTGTTGCAACTATAGAATCTGCTTAATATTGACATAAAACGCGTTAAAGATACCTTTGCATCATCAACTTATTTGTCAGTAGTCTTCCTCGTTTTAGAAATTGTTCATACAATGAGCATGATCGTGCGTATCGAATGAACTTGGAGACATAAACCTCATTGCAGGTGATAATGATATACTGCTACAAAAATAAGGGAAGCTGATGCTAGAAAAGTTGAATTCATTACGTTTCTCGTAAAGTTTCGTTATTCGTTTGCCCTCAACGTTTTTCTCTATGAATACTTGTATGAAGCAGATGTGCCGGGCTCTGTAGGATCTTTTTTTAGGTTCAATGGGGATATACATCGATTCAACGTATGAATTAAAATGAATATTGTTAATTGATAAACCATCATAAATATTTATCTAAATGTCGAATTGAAGGTCATATCGAAACGTTTTTTTTTTTTCATTAAGAAGTTTTTGAAGAAATTCTGCTTTAAAAAAACGCAAAAACAGGTTTGATAATAATGGGAAACAATTATTTGTTGGAAAACTGGACTCCAAAGACTATATACTAGATACTTTATAAATATCGATATATATATAGATAGATTTTTTAATAACAATTCCAGAATACTTGTGTGTAGAATCAGAACAGTTTTTTTTTTCTTTCTTTTTTTTTTAATACAAATTTTAAGTAAGTTTGTAGAAGATCTATGACAACATAGGAAATTTGCAAGTCTATTCTTATTAGTAAAGAATATCAAAAAGTACATTCTAATTCATTGTCATTTTACATATCTTGTATGTATACACAGAATTGAAAATGATCTTTATTACAACAAAGTAGTACAATAGCATATCTTGGTTGAATAACTAGCCTCTTAAGCTTGTAGTTCTTCCGACTAATAAACTCAGGATGTTTGGCGGTATTACTCAGTCAAATCATTGTGAACGGCAATATAAGTCAATGAGCAAAGGCTTCCGTTGAATCTTCAACGAAAGTACAAGAAAACTTGATAAAGAGTACAATCTATTGTTTCAATCATACAGTATTACTTATCATCACATACCGCAATATACTGACTAATGCTTTGGCCTGGAAGGTATCAGAAGGGACGGTCCTCTTGAAATATTTGTATTTAACATTGTCGCTCAGCTCCGGGGTAGTGGCAAAGTAGCTTATCTGTTAAAAAAGGGAATAGCTAGTGTACAACTAGCAATAGGAGATAATGGTCAATGAATATTTCTTATATTTTAATACAAAAAATATCATTAATAGAATCTGCGCAAAGCCCAGTCAAGTAAAAACCAAATATAAATGTTTCGCAGCAATATGTCATTAATACACACCAGGTTTTATGTGAAAGAATGTATTAAGTTACTATTTATATTTATTTAGAATTATTTCCACTTAGAATCAATTTAACTTTTTTACCTGTGGAACTTTGAACAAAGTGAGTAGATTTGCCACGTCTACTGTTTCCTTGCTTCTGGGCGGACCAATTACACCTATGATGTTTCTGGTATCCGTCCAAGAACATGTGCAGTTCTCAAACCTGTTTGATTGAGAGTTATATCGCTTTTGTGCAAATTCCAGCGCGTGCTGTAGTGCTATACCTGTATCATAGCAGGAATCTCTGGCTATTAATCCCAGAGTAAATCCCTTATGTGTCAGGCTAGCATTCACTTCCCTCAGAGCAAAAATGGTCGCCTCCAGAATCTGAATCCCGTCTTGTTCGTTGACCTGCGGCGTGCATTTTCCGTCTTTGGAGTCGTGTATCGGAAACAGCGCCCCTAAAACAAAATCCCCAGGAATGTGTACCTCTTTGACAGACGTTTGAGCAGGAAAGCGTCTCACAAAACAGGCAAAGGTGATGATAAACACAGTCCTTATGTCCATGGTGAAACAAGATCACATTGTTACTGACATCGTGAATTTTCATTGATGAGGAAATTTTCCCTTTGGTTTTGTGTGCAATGTTTTCAGGACCTAGACGTAGCTGGAAGGAAGGAAATTAAGACTTCACTCCATGAATTGTGGCAGCGTTTGGATTTATACTAAAACATTACATTCTAGATTTAGTTTCTGTAGAATTAAAACATTAACTCGCAATTAAACCAATGGCAACAAAGCGGTACAGTAACTCACACTTAAAATGAATTTGTCTTAAAATTGTTTGTCAATTAGTCACATAAAACTCTTCAAAGATCCGGATCTCACGTCAATGGACATTGAAATATTCATACTTACATTGAATCAGGTTTTATACAAATATTTTTAGAAATGATTTTTAGTTTGTTTGTATTTCGTGTTGCTCAAAATGTGCAATTATTAAAGTTTTGTTGTATTTTAAGAGAAATCAAATTTGTAAAATTAACTTTATTACAATTTACACCAACAAGGTCTTGGACCACACAATTTGGAACACATGACTTCTAAGGTATGAAATCTTAAAATTGAAGGTAATAATATTTGGATGATTACGATGCAGCGGAAAGCTGTGACCTACATCGAGCGATTTGGTGATTAAAGTCTGTAACACATCGAACTGAACATTAATTATTCCTACACGTTTCCTGTCGAGTTTTATTGACAATTTCGAAAATTGAATATGATGGATGATGGCATTTGACCTTTAACCTTTTTAAAAGACCTCGAGCAAAACATTACAATAGTACACGCGTAGCGTAGTGACTCTGGAAATGAGCTGATACAGTCTGATATGTTTTGAAATAAGTAATATCTTCCGATACGTACATGTATTGGACTTTTTTTTCTTTACTAAATTTACCTGTATTACGATGATATTGCTTGGTATTTAGATAACGGCAACCCAATGACAAGAAAATCTGTTTATCTTCTTGCTGTATTTATCGTATACATTTTCTGTTGCGTATAACTTGTATAATACAAGTAAATAATACGAAAAATCACAATAAAATATCATCCCAGATGATTTAAAAACAAACAATTTTCTTTGAAAAAAAAATTATAATCAAGGAAAGTCTATTCTTAAGGTATTTAGAAAATTCTTCAAGGTTTATTGGGTTAATTAAAATAACCTACCTGAGTTTATCAGAGTTAAAGTTGAATAAACCCTGGCCGTGTCGTGTTGACAGTAGAACCGTGCGTTACTGTTATCAGTAGACAGTAAATTAAGTTCATCAGTATTTGTATAAATTGACCATCATTTCAGCTGTTCAATTGTAGTTATAAGGAGCTGATGTTCCTTCTCTCTACTTGATCTTCTCAGTGAAATTGGGTCAAGTGTCGATGTTACCTAACCATATTGTGTATTTCTTTACATAAATGTTAGCATGTTATATTTTGTCTCTCTCATAGCATTAGAAAAAAATAAGAATTTTGGGAAAAGTCAACTTTAATACAATTAATATGGAGTCTCGTTCTCTGTTTTGTCTGGAATTTGAACTTTTTTCACGATATTAACTATGTAAACTACACACTGACAGAGAGCACGCGAGAGTCAGAGGTCCCGCCCACCCTAAAGGGACCAATTTACAAGATATACGACCCATCATTTCCGCCCTAACACAACACGTGTTAAGTCATCGAAATTGTCTAGAAGGAAAACATTTTTTCTTGATAGAAATTCACTACAATTTTAAGGACAGAAAATACAAACAAACTTGTCTTCCAAATGAAAATAACTTGAGTCATGTTTATATCGATATATTTAAGTAAAATGAATAAGTTTAACCACATTTTTAATTTAAAGTTTCCCAATTATTTACTTCAAAGTGATAAAAAGTTGTATAGATTTACATGTATAAGGATGATAGCAGAAAGGTAGTATTTTAAATATTTTAGAAATTTAATATCTGCATCATCATATTTGCACTAAAATAAGTCCAAATATATATATATGAATCCAGGCATCTATTGTTTTGTTTGCATCGTCTGTCCTTAATACAAACAAAGAAGTGTTTCAAGTTTCCAATCCAAAGATTTATTTTCAAAAATACAGTAATCTCATAAAAATGCAATGAATGTATTATGTTTCCATGAATGGTCAACAAAGGCATGCGATTCCACAATCAGTTAACTGTTATTGGATGTCAGTTGGACATATGCTCATCACAAAAACGAAATTTATATGGAACTTTGATATGTATATTTGAACACAATTTGTTTTTCTGAAATATCCAATGTAATGGCTAAACAATTTATTAACCAATAGAGATACACTGTATATGCCCTGAGTTTCTGGCTAAATTTCAATACCCTCCAAATGCTCTGCAAGGTCAGATATTTTATTGATACATGTGCAATAATTCTGCAATATCACGTCTCTAATTAATTGCGCATATGAAATTCGCTTATGTAATATTATCTGACGTATTGAATATGATTTCTGCATTAATATCATTCTACTGAAATTTTCCCGGTATTATACCGTTTTAAGGAAATGGTACAGGTAGACAGAAAATATCTGTACGGAATTTAACCACAGGCACCGTGTTCCAAGCAGTGAGACAATACAAGCAACTGTTTACTACTTCCGACACATTAATTACACGTAATGTATAATCGATTATTTGTTATTGTCAATGATAAATCATAAATTACAGCGATATTCAGTTATAGGGGAATCCTGGAATGATTTTGTGTGTGTGTGTGTGTGTGTTCATTCAAAACCAAATTTAATAGCACTCCATTGTGTGTCTAAATTTGTTTAATCATGAACTATGTTGGACGAACAAAAGTTATTTATAACAGATGCATGTACACGTTTGTTTCATATATATTATAAGAAGTATTTCCGTGTGATATTTGAACATTAAGAAAACAATTTGGATTTTCTATAGTAGATACATTATGATGTTAAACGCATATTAATGCCATATTCTTTACACTATTTCTTTTACGTGCAAATATACTCTTAATATCAAGCCCATGTGTTTGATCACAGTGTAAAAAGAATAATAAAGCATGATCGGGGCATGTGATTATGAGGGAGTGGGGGCTGGCAGATTATGGTAATAAATGTTCTGTTATCGCAAAATCCGAAAATATATAATCTGTAATAAATTGGCAAAGACAAAAAAATCTGTTCTTGTCTGGTCCTTCTACCCCCCCCCCCCCCCGGCCGTACCCGCAAAATAGAGTTCTGAAGTTTGGCATCCCCCCTTTTTTTTGTTTGTTAAACTTTTTCCAGTAAAGAAGCAAATAAAAAATCACCAACCGATTATCTTAGAAATAAATATTCTGTCCCCTTTTTCAGAATCAAATGGCCATCCCTTTATTCGTTCAACAATAAATAATTTGTCCCCTTCTCCAGAATCAAATGGCCGTCACTTTATTAGTTAACCTATACAGACTTATTCTTAATAGTTCTAAGATAACTTTTTATTAAAAGATAATTTATTGTTTATATATTTCACTCGAAATCTAGCTGATTATGATCATGATCTATACAGACTATTGATATGGCAAATTTTAATCTTAAGAGGCTAATTTCCTGGAAATCACATCAGCAACTGTTTTAAGATCAACTGCCGTCGTATGCAAGATTATCTACCGTATTATAGAAATGCATGGTGTGTGTTTTAAATTCAATTACTTAGTATGGGGAATTAGTTGTTTCATGTTTGCGATGATTAACACGGTCTTATTCTATCTTTGTGATGATCATTCTAAAAACAGAAATCAATTTTAACATAAAATATGAACTTGGTCTAAAATATAGGAATATACACGGAAGTTAGTGTCTTGAACATCTAGATTCGACATTTATACTAATCCTTTGTGTTTCAAAAAAGTGAAAGCGGACATTGGAAATTTATTTTTAGATATGATATTCTAGGTTAAAAATTAACACATTCAGGTCACTAATTTTGTTTCAAGAGCATTTCACTATCATAGTTATATAAACATGTACTTATACCATAAAGACTTTAGCACATTCAATCATCAAATATCTCTCAATTTTTATTTTTTATGAAAAAGGAAAAAAAAACTATAGTATTAAACTTAGCAGTTGTTTACAAACACCTTGTCTCTATGAAGTAGCCCCACTCCCCCTTCACCTGTATTTACCTGTGATTTACCTGGCTGATTTCGTCACCTCTGCATGTACGTATATTTCACACCTTGTTGATGCAAGTTCGCGTACCGCCACCAACCCGCAATGAACAGCTTGAACAACGGCAAATATGTTGTATCGACGTGGATTTAATCCCCTCTTTTACACCACGTTAAAAAGAGATATATACGTATTGTTTCTCCAAATTTCCTGCTAGGTCAGATATTTACCAAAATAATACATGTACTAGCAACATGATGCGGAAAAGAAAGAAAATGTAATGAGATATTTTTAATAAAAAATACGTAATTAAAATTAAACAAAAAAAAATGGAAACTTTAAGAGTGCTAGATTGATTTAATTTTATTTTTAGACAACAAAATCTATCATACTCCGACGCATATTGCTTTGTATGGGTAGTTCTTTTGTATTGAAAATCATTTCTTTCATTCAATGACCACCACGTGCCAAGAACAATCTGTCGAGCAATGATGAAGTGATTATCGTTTGATGCCTCCGTCTTTTGCAATCTGTAACAGACACAAGACAAACTTTTCTTCAATAAGCCCCCGGGGAAAACGGAAGCATTCTTTACGCACGCGACCACAACAATTCTTAAAATCAAAAGCCATTTTGACAGATGATGGCATGTCAAAATTTTATAACGTCGGGCTGATGTTATTTATAACGGAGTAAAACTCTTATGAATTAATTAACAATTATGGTGATTCGTCATCCGGAAAAACAATGCAGAACTACATGTATATATAATAAACACTGAAGACTCGTTCAACAAACTGTGTCCTAACTGAGCAACTGATAGCATCACAATCTCGTCACTGAAACACTCTCTCAAGGAAAACCAAAGAAATTTCTCGTCCAACGAAGTTTAATCGATTTTATTTCCAAAAACGGAATAATGTACACCAAAGTTTCTTTAATTTTATTTTCTGTCTTTGTTCCTGAAGTTGTGTTTGGAGCATGCCGGATATTTCAACAAAACTTACAGGCTATTCCGGGGAAGCCAGGTGAATATATATATATATATATATATATATATATATATATATATATATATATATATATATATATATATATATATATATATATATATTAAAGGTTAAAATAAGTAGTACGTAAAACCTTTTCAAAATATTCGTTCGAAGCTTTTAAGCATTGTATCTTTTATTGTAATCAAACATCCAATACGTAAATATACCTTTCAACGTACTTTTATTTTTTGAAATGCAATATATGGTACTATGGAAAAAAATAAATTATGTTGAATTCTAGATAAATGAAAAACAATAAATGATACATATAGTTTTCTTTCACTGTTTTAAATACCTTTTTTCATTTTCTGCTTTACAGTATCATTGGACTGTTTATACAAGAACTCTATCCGGGTAGCCTACCAGGAGACTTACAGAGACCACGCGACCTGTGAGGACTGCTACTGTACCGAAACCGGGTTAGAGTGTTGTGGGTAGGTGTCTCAAGTAATTCAAAGGTTCTCAGTTTGTAAGGTCTATAAAACTGATGTCGTTGATTAACATTCAATTTTTCAATTTTAATAATAATAATTTTAATATTTACAAGCACATGCAATCATTTTCAACTTTAAATTGAAAATTAATAAAGGACAATATAATAGATATCTTTCTCGCCCTGAAAATAATTCTGAAATCTTCATTTTTCGAACAACGGAATAAAAACGAAAAAAAATCTTCAAATCAGTATTTTTGTATATAGTAAAAGTAAGTTTGAAAAGAGCAAAGAATGGGATTGTCACTACAGTATTTTTGAGAAAATTATGATAATTTTGCAGGTTTGGAAATAACGCAGGGACATTTAAAATCGAAGGCTGTATTGAACAAAAAGACGGTTGTTACTCAAAATTTGTGGATGCTAGCGATCCCACTAAGCCTTGTCCTGCTACCATGACAACGACTCAAGCTCCGGTAAAACACGTGCTTGACGACCAAATTTACAGAAATCCGTTCTTGAACAAGGATAACTCTCCGTTTAGTAGCTTTGGGAGCCCTAACTCACTCCCTGACCCCGATAGCTGGACCACTGACGATCTGAACACGAAGTCCCAGAGGCAGCGACAATACTATTTATTTCTCTGGTCCCTGATAAATTATTTTATGAACAACAATTAATTTCCTGTCAAAACTGCGTATTAGAGATATATGAAATCCATTTTCCTCTTAATTTATTGTGATTTACTTTATTTATTTATTGAAAAGATAATGATTTTGTATACTTCATTATATGTATATCTTAAGCAGATGTTATTTCTAATCATCTCATTATTTATTATTAATTTACAACATTGCAGTTTTGTGCGTTTTATTTATCAGTTTGTATGTATTTCTTTGCCTTTATAGAAAAATAAAAAAAGAGAAAGACAATGAACGTGTTACATTTAATATTCCTTTCTTCTGAAATGGTTCAACTGTACTGATCTGTTACTCTTACAGCTAGTCTAAACGGAATTTGTTTTCCTTTAAAACGATTGATTGATTGACTGTTGTTTTGCTTCCCATTCGAGAATTTTTTACTCGTATAGAGATGTCACCGTATGCCGGTGAAGGGCTTCAAATTTAGACCTTAACTCGGCACTTGAATAGTGAGGGTTCTTTATCGTGCTTTATCAGTGACACGGCACCTCGGTTTTTAAGATTTCATCCGAAAGACCCGCGACTTTCACTTCTAGTACCAGGCGCTTGGATAAGGAACAGTAACTACCTTTGTTTACGTAGTAGGTTTGACCGGCGTGGAGAACGAGAATCGAACTCGGGACTCCTGATCACGAAGCGAACGCCCTACCACTTGTAATATTGATAAATATTGACATCAGCGTAATTTCGCACTTGATTTTAATGAGAGAGAAAACAAGTCATACATACTGCAATTTTGATATATTGTAATAACATCTTAAGGAAAGAATTTGAGGTCTGAGTAACACATCATCATGTCTGACAGAATTGTGAAGAGTAAAATAACTTTCAGGCAGTTTATGTGCGATGAAGATGGGAATTTTTTTTTTTTACCAACACTGTATATGCTATTTTCCGTTCTAGAATAGAAATGCAAAATTATGAGTAAGGGACAACAAACTTTCGGAACATTGTGCATGATAAAAATGTTACATAATAACATTAATTTTTACGTACCGTTAGTCAGTGACTGAGTGGGTGTGTCATGAACCTGTCTAGCGGGACACTGCGGGGCATACACATCCCAACAACACGGTGGGGCGAATAACAAACTCCACGGCAGAGAGCCAGAGAACAGTCATGTTCTATCGCTGGCTTGTCTTTGTTGTCCCACTCCTGGATTTCCTTGCTGATTTCTGTGTGGGGTTTGACGTCTGTAATACACTGATACAGGTGGAACACGATCGGGACGAAAACAACAAAGGTAGGAAAGAATTAACCCTCTAGAAATACATAAAACAACAAGTACTGTGGACATTATGTATTGGTAAGTTATAATATTACTTTTTGCAAAATGTATATAAAACAAGGTTTTTTTTTTTTTTTTAAGGAAATGAATGGGAAGTATGATATTCAAAAGTCAAACTTATGGCCAATGTTACGCAATAGCACAGAATGTACAGAACAGTCAGTAACCAAACTAATGTACGAGTAAGACTTACTCTGAACGCCTATGGACGAATAAACTTTACCCTAAATGAAAAGGGTGTACTTCTGTTCAGAAGTGAATGATTCTTGTGCACATAGAAACAACGTATATTTATTTCGTGTTACTGACTGTGTAACTGTATACATGTTTGCATATAGTTGTAATATGTTTTACTATGTTACTGTTCGGGGGAGTTGTATTTTTTACTTAAAACCATCAAAACATTTACATATAGCTAACACTTTTAATTGTGATCCGACCTCTTCATCAAGTCTTGTTTGTGACGTCACAGGATGCCGTATATTAGTTGCACTTTCATAACGAAGTGTAAATAATGAAAATTTCATAACCAAACTGAAAGGCATTGTAGAGTAGATTCCTTTCTTTGGTTTCTATTAAGCTATATTTAACACGTGTAAAAAACTAAATCTTATCGATAACTACAGTACTGATATGTTTGCTGTTATCGCATGGAATTGTGGTAGCGAGATAATTCTGGGAAGGTTTCACGAATAATAAAATGAACAGATTTCAGTTGGAATTTCTTTTCTTAAATGTTTGTCTACAGAGCTCGCTGCGCTCAAAGCCAGAATAGAGGAAATCTGAAATGAAATCATGATATGTTAGACCAATTTTTGTGTGAACCTTCCCAGAATTCTTTTGCTCCCATGACTCCATGCAATAATGGCGAATATAACAGGTTCGCAGTCATCGTAAAGATTTAGTTCTTGCAGAGAGCTCATAAAAAATAAACAAAAATAATTGTATCTAATCAGCAATGCCTTCAGTTAAAAATTGCACTATTTAGACTCCGTTATGAAAATGTAACTAACATATACGACGTCATGTGACATTACACTTTAGGCTGTCTCTTGAATTTTGAAGAGTCGGTTCAGTTACAATTGTAGGCTGTGTAAACCACGCTCCTCCTACCAGCTGCAGTCACGCTGTAAAACATATTATAAAAATACATGCGTACGAACAGTTTCAATAACGAGGCAAGCTATTGAAAATGACACAAATATATCAACAGATTCGTTTAAAGTCAACATTTTGCCAAATTAATGGTCGATACAATGACCTTGTTAGCAAATATAATCTTTCATAAAAGTCGAACGTTTTTCATACAAATTGTTCAGTTATTATTTTCACACAGAATTGTCTGTGGATCTTTTCGTCTACCCTATAATTACAAGGAGCACTGGTCGACAGGGGATGCTTACTCCTCCATGGCACATGATCACATCTCATGTATTTAGTGATTCGTGTGTATTCTGCTCACAATTTGTATTATTGTTGCGATGATCTTTTAATCTTGATTATTCGTTAACTCCATATTTCATTTTAATGTTTTTCTTATTATTGGTAGGCCTAATGCTGGAATTTGCATCTTCAAATTTGAATGGAATCTTTTTCAAATTTTCAAGACTATTCGAAAATATCAATACATAGCCTACATACCAAAACATGACCTAGCCTATCAAAGAGAACGTTTGATTGACAAGGTAAACAAAAGGCAAGGTGTCTTAGTGTCTACTTGTGAATTAAGCCTCACTGAAATCATAGATATAAATATTTTTCAGATAAATTTGATTAAATTAAGTTTGATTTCTAACCTTGTCTTGTTATAGTGTCTCAACAACCTTTTCCGACCGATATCCTAATTCAACCTATCAACAAAGTGTTTCTTGTGCCTTTTTATTATACAAATTCCAATTCTCACAGAAAGAAATAGAAACAGTCACACAGCAATCTGCTCATCCTTATTGTTACCAAAAAGTCTATCACACCAAGCCCTATTCAAAGCCTAACCACTATCCAAGCCGATTTACACCTTGCGCCGTTTCGTCATATTCTACGTCTGCCAGTTAGAGAGCCGTATTTATATACGATTGTCCCTTTTAAATATATGTATATAAGATACAAACAACAAGTAAAAAACAGCACCCTGAAATGAAGTGGGTTGATCACATGATAAAATCCTCCTGTGAAGCCAAAGTGAGGGCTTCACAGGATTTTATCACGTGACCAACCCTGTTATTAAACCCCTGCTTGAAAAGCGGGGGTATATAGTAGGAGTGTTCGCCCGTCTGTTAAGCTTGGGGGTTCAAATCTCTTATCCACAACTCCTCATATACCACTGCATACAATTTTATGAGATTTTCATGGAATATTAATTACATTGTGCCATTGTGCACCCCCTTTTTAATGTTTTGATCGGGGATTCTCATTGGAAAACATGGACTCATTCTATCAATAATACTGAGGGTACCCATCTCTTATCCACAGCCCCTTCTATAATCACTGAATGGAATTTAATGAGACTTTCACAGAATCTTTAAGGTGCCATTATACACTTTCTATTCTATGTTTTGGTCAGACAGACATTTCTTTAATTTAAATTATTCCCTATGCTCCATCTGGCTTTTTAATACAAACCTTTCAAGATACTGCTTTCATGAAAAGTATTTTTAAATTTATTGTGAAAATAACGAACAGTAATCAAGCTCAATAGTCCATTGTAACAATACAAATTTGGAGCAGAGCAAAGCAAAGACAGACCTCTACAACATCAGAGGAGGGATCAAGTGCCATGGATTAGTTAGAAATCCCTGTCGACCGGTCACACACGTCATGTGCTCTTTGCCATGATCAGACAAACCGAAAAATACGTAGACAATACAGTGTAAAAATTTTTTTAAAAAAAAAATAAAATTAGTATGAAAAAATTTCTGTCAACATTTGACTTAATTTGCTAAAAAAAAAAAGTCATTGTATCGACCGCAGAAGTTGCAAAATATAGACATTAAACATAAACGAAATGCTGTTTGTAGCATCAACTTGGTATAGCAGCGTTTTATTTGAAACAACTCTGTAGCAGGATTTGTTGCAATAGAAAAGATAAAACAAATTTTGCAGGAAAACCTGCATCATACGTTACCAATAATGTAATAATTATCATCCTAGAGTATTAAACTATACCTCATTAATAAATCTCCTGGCGAATCTTGATTCAATTCTAGTCAATAAACCTGTTCACTTCTACACACATAAATAAATTATCCATATTAAAAGAATTGACCAACTACATACATACATTTTTACAGTGTTGGCTTGCCGCTATGAAATACTAAAGTATGATCCTTCAGGAGTTTTTATAAGAGAGACAGTGTCAACACCAGTAAACCAAACGCTATGTCACGAGCTCCGGAGTGCCGATACGTGTAAATCAGACGGTACCCTGGTCACGTGTCAGTAAGTAGTCATGTTACAGGCTTTTTCCACAAAGGTGTCGTTTAGAGGTAACACCTTAGTCAATAAGGATCACATTATGACTGTTAAACATTTATTATAAAATGATAATCCTATTTTAAAAAAGGCATCAATCAGTAGCATTCAGATTACAAAAATATCAACATTCCAAAGTATGCAAAAGCAGATAAATGCTGTACAAAATATGCTAGCTTAATGAACTATAATTCTTACTATAGTCATGTGCCTGAATGGGAAAGATATCCGGTGCATACATTTTTACCACCAGCGGGATGTACATTTTCACAGAATGTGCAATGTGAATTAGAGACAATATGTCCAAGTGTAACAGAGAAACCAGCAACAGTCACATTTTCACAGACAACGGAGACTACTAGGGAAGAGGAATACAAAGATATCATGAACAATCAATCCAAAGTAACAATAAAAACAGATATCAGTAGTCCTTATATTGATGACGTAACAGTGGAGCGACGGGGAACATTTCAAGACAGGGTAGCAACAGACACACCACCATCAACAGGACATTTTAACAATGGATCTGTAGTTACATTATTTTTGTCATTTCTTATAACTATTAATGTCATTTTAATGTGATTAATACGGTAAAACAGATACGCTCTTAAAAGAGCGAATTACACTACATTCTATTAAATTGATTTTTAATAAACCGACAATTTTCCAGAAGTGTTGTATTATAGCTATGTAATATCTCCGCTGTACATTCGTGGATTGTATTTTATAAAGAATAGGTAACTATGGTATCTCCCTTCAACGAAATCGAAAAGGATGTACAGAACTCTATATTCTCCTCCACGGCACCTGATCCCACCTCTGAACTTTTAGAGGTCCGTGTTTGCTCTGCTCTTATTTTGTAATGTTTAGTGGACTTTTTGAGCTCGAATACTGTTCGTTATCTCTGCATATTTCATTTATTGTAATGTACTTTTATCAATGCAATCGGATCAAAACTGTAGGAGGAGCAGCATGTGGGAAAACTGCTAACAGACAGATAGACGATGGACTCCTAAGTAATGCAAAAGCTCTTTTGGTCTCTGAGGGCTTAAATGGTTGAAAATTTATCAAATTGCTTTTATTGAAGCACTGACAGTTACAGAAGCATTTTACATCCATATCAAAACAGATTATTATAAGGATAATAGATGACAGATAGATGATAAGAAAACAAAATCAGGGGATACTTGTTGAACTAAGACAGAATGTAAAAATAATTAATAGAAATTTTATCAAAGATAAATTTATAAATGCAATATTTAAAGCAATGAAAAAGAGATTAAATAGGTACCGCAAACAAAAATACTTTAATGATTCGTCAAATTCAAAATTCTGCTAAAATGTCTGATTGGCCGGGCCACTTGCATTAAATATTGTAACCAATAAAAAAGTATTGTTTTGTTGACTGTCACAAAAATGATGTTAATGTCTTTTTAACGATGTACATGTACTTAGCCTATGAGAAAACATCTATGCTGCGACATTATGATATTATAACTGGCTTATTGCAGCCCGGAGGACCGGGCTGCTCTATACATATAAGTCTAAGTGTTGGTATATGGGGATTGAGGTGGGAGAAGTTATTCAGAATTAAAGGTTTTCTAAACATTAAAAAGATTGTTAATCAGAATGTTCTTTCCCTTTATAAAGTACGAGATACACAATATATTTACTTCCATAAAGTGAATCTGTAAAATATATATGTTTTTCATATTTAATATATAAAGTTGCTTATCATTTACTATCGAAAAAACGACAGGTCCCTTTTTTTAGAACATCGAATTTTACTTATCGCATAAAAACGTAAAAAAGTACTTTACACAGTTCGTGTTTTATATTCTTTAAGTGAAAGACATTTTTGAAAATAGGTGATGCATGTGTCTGGTTTCAGATTATATTTTATGCAGCCAACATTTACTTTAGGAATTGATAAAGTTTAAAAGGGTATCGTTTTTGTTCGATTTTCATCCGTCTATAAGTTTTCAAAATATTCTCGACTATCGTCTCCATCATTTAGACGCATGCCTTTTTCACACATATCGAAGCGGTTTGATGATCAAGACTCCTTTCCATTGTTTACTTTATTTATTTCCCGGGCGACAATTGATGGTTACATCAATGTTTTCTTGTCTTATTTGTTAGAGGTATTTCATTCGTATCATACTGAGAAAAACATTCGCTGAAATCACGATACTTGTAGGATAAATATCCAAAATGAAGAGGAAAAGCAGACGTTTCTGATAATTTGCAAATTTCCTTGGTAATAATTATTAGATAATACATTCATACAAAGTCAATAATAAGCGAGAAATGCAACATTTCGAAGAGTGGAGAATTTGGAAAGACATTGCATCAAGGGGAACGAGAGCGACATGAATTCAGCCAAAATTTTGATGTTATATTTCATATTGATGTTTGATGTTATATTTCAAAAACATCACCCTGATTATTGAGATGACTTTTTTAGCTTTCTAAAAACAAAAAAAAAGGTCGCCAGGACTCTTTAGATGAAGAAAAGCTTAATACGTGTGTACATATTTTTCTTCCTGTTTGATCTTATGTGGGATTTAACAACCTCATTGTAAATTCATGTCAGCAGGAAAAAGAATTAAGATATCATTACAGTAAGAATAAAGGATAAAATTTTCTTCCAAATTCACATACCCCCGCCACTGAAAAATAAGCCATTAGAGACTGAGATGAAAAGATGATAAACTTTTTCAACTTTCATCCATTTTCTCTCCTCTTTCAAAGAAGAAATTAATGGTTCTACTTTTTAAAACTAATACTGAAATGAAAAAGTAATTACAGCATATTTATCTTATCAAATTAAATGAAAATGCATTAACGAATAAATTTTACGACAGCGTTTTAAGCATGTAGTCTTAATTCCTTAAATGAATATATTTTGATAAAACCTAGTCAAATAGCATTGAGACATTTCTCATTAAGAACTGTCTTTGAAACACCTGTACAACAGACCAGTGACGACCTGGATTACCTTCATTTGTCATAAACTCAACATTAAGTTCGTACAATGATGAACTGTACCAATTAGAAGAATGTTGTCTTTCATTTAAAAAAAAATTATCATTTTTATGAACTATTGGAGAATGCATTTTAATTGTAATAAACTAGTTAGCCATTCCTTGGCTAGAGTGATTATATAAAGCCAAGAGAAAACAGGAAGTATTCTTTGGAATGTAGAGTGTAGGATTATTAAGGTAAACTATGAAGCGTACATTGCATATAAGACAATAACAATACAAGGAACCAATGTGGTATCCAGGTCAAAATTCTACAATTAAAAGTTGTGAGACTGTTTATATCTCATTACAAAAATATTTAGATGCATGCTTGATTGATTTAATTTCTCTGTAAAAGAAAAAAATGCTTAAAAATATGGAGATAACGAAAAACATTCAAGCTCATAGTTCATTTAAGCAATACAAATCGGAAGTAGAGAAAACATGGACCACCAAAAAAAAAATTACAGGCGAGATCAGGAGTCATGGAGGAGTAAGCATCCCCTGTCGACCGGTCACACCCGCTGTGTATTCCTTGTCATTATGGGGTTAAAGGAAAAATCTGTAGAAATTTTAGTCTGTAAATAATAACCTAACAATTGGTATGAAAAACGTCAATCAACATTTGACTTAATGATAGATTGTATTCGCTAAAAGGGTCATTGTATCGACCATAGAACTTCCAAAATGTTGACTTTAAATTATTGATATTCTTGTTTCATCAACTTGCTTGTCAATAGCTTGCCTCGTTTTAGAAATTGTTTGTTCGTAGAGAATGTTCTTGCTTATCGATTCAACTGAGAGTCTTAAATCCCATATGCAGGTCATAAGGGTGTATTGCCACATTAAGTAAGGGAAGATGACTATTGTAAACTTGAAGTCGTCACGTTTATCATATCTGAAATCGACAGAGATACACATGTTATATGTATATTTTGTTATTACTTTTGTTGGACATGCCTATTATAATAAATGAAGAAAATTATGATATTAACAGAATAACAGTATTAATGCAATGTATGCTTAGAAAAACAACAGGATAACAATTAAGTAGAACATAAAAAAAAACTTGATTGAATAAGGAAAGGTCATTGCTGCACTTCTGTACCGCGTAAAAGCCAAAAAAAATAAGAACATGCAAAAGTACACTACTTCTTTTAAATCATCATGAAAAATATGATACATAATTATGTAATTGCAGTTTACTTCTACGCATTAGTTCTTTCTTTCTTGCAATCGTAAAATTGATAATATTGAAGAGTGAATGTGGAAATTACAAACGATTTTTTTTTTTTTTTTTTTTTTTTTTTTTTTTTTTTGCATTAAGTACCTTCCTGAATATTTCACTTGTAATTGGATGCAAACTGACCGCGAAGGGATCAAATTGAAAACTAAGTACAACACTTATGGCCACTGAACAGTGAGAAATCTTACAAAACAAGACCTAAATCTATATAGTCTTTTGGAAGAACCGGTCTCCGTGTCCCGCATCTATGAGAAAATACACTTGGATTATGTTAAAGATTTTTATTTTTATATGTAAAGTAAAACTACAGGTCTAAAATAACTTGTGGATGAACTTTTTAGCATTCATTTAATTTGATAATGACCATGTTAGCAAATGTAATATATCGTTGGGTGCATTTTGTTTGAAATATTTCATACCAATTGTTAAGCGTTTGTTTTTGTACTAAATTTGACTACGGAATGTCCCGTCTACCTGATCAATACATAAGTTTCAATGCGGGTGCTTCCGGTCAACAGAGGATGCTTAATCCTCCTAGGCACCCGATCCCACCTCCAGAATTTCTAGGAGTTCCTGTTTTATGCCCTGTTCACAGATTTGTAACGTTTGTAGATTTTTTAAAGATCAATCATTGTTTCGTGATCTTCACCTTTTTATGGATAATTGTTTTTTCTCTAAATTATATATACCCTTTAAATGGGTTTTTTAGCTAGTCGCAAATTAAGCAATTTTTCGTTAAAAAAAATCAGAATTTAATTTTTGCGATAAGTAATTTTAGTGAAATTTTGATGTTTAGAAGTAACAGTATCAGTAACCTCAAATACGGAGTTATTCATTAGCGATATTCAAATTTAGCCAACTCAACATCCTAAATATGCAAAAATTGAATTCTCGCTAAACTTTCTGCTAATTCGGTATTATTTGTTTTTACTTAGTTACATAGTAATTAAACAGAAGAATTATACATGTATATGAACATACTCCTGAAAGCTGCCATGTTGAGAAATACTTATCGCACTTATTAAATATTCCAGATAATGACTATTTACAGGGCACATTTTGTATAAGTGTCAACATTATCATGTTAGGATCATGTCATTCCATTTAAGTGCTGGCGATTTCATTGTGAAGCTGAATGTAATGAAGGAATATAGCTTTAACTTGCAAACGAATCAACAGGCTTAGATTTGAGGAAAATGAAAGAGGGAATTAATAAAATCATACAGTTATAGGGATAGAACTTAAGTTAAATTACCACGATAATCCTAACTACGTTTACGATAATATAGAAATAATTGTTGACTCATATTTTTTCAATGGAAGGAGTATTATTACTTTGACAATTTGTAAGCATTGGCTGGAAATCTGGCATTTGAAATCATCAGAAGCCAAAATGCTCTAGTTTAGCAATTAAAATCGAATTTAACTGTTGGTATTGGTAGTTCACGATAAAAATTCCAGCTGTAAAATGCGTGAAGTATGAGTTTATATGAACAGAAATTAAGATTCTGACCTGTTCTTCCCTTTAGCCTGGTATTATATTAAAATGATTTCTATAATCGACAGCAGAAGACTAATAAATCTGAAATCCTGGAAACCGAGCTAAGGGAGTTTATTCCTTTATTATTATCAGATAAGGAGTTCTTGTATTCCATAGTATTTTTACTTAACTGTTCCATCTAGTGCATTTTTTTTGTAAAAATGTTCTTTTTCAAATCTGGACAAATCTTTGTGTCCTGCTTAAATATATGTGAACTCTATATACATAATGACGTCACTGAAGGGTGAATTACATTAAAAAATATATTCCTTTCGAAAGAAAAGTTTTTTTTTTTTTTTTTTTTTTTTTTTTTTTTTTTTTTTTTTTTTTGCAAAACAAATATACCTTTAAGCGTTAGTAAAAAAGAACACTAGACTTAAATGCATACATTTACAGTGGTCTCCGATAAAATATCATTATCATAATGTTAATTCAGTAATAAATTATTTTATTCTCTATTGTAATTTGTGTTTCAATCCCCCATCACTGTACAATCAGATACATCAACTAGATGTCATTTTTACTACCAATCTCAGTGTTCGCGTAAAATCACAGCAATTCAATATATGTTATGTCATCTAAGTACTTCTAAGCTTAAATGTTAAGATATGCACCATGTCCAGAGGTATCAATTTTGCATCAAAAATGTCAGGTATTCTGTACGTCTGCATGAATTGAAAAGATATAAATTAATATGTTATGGGGGAAAATGTGATAATTAATAATTCAGATAAAACGTAGGAAAGGTGCACTGAGATCTTGCATTTTTACGACCTAATGTATTTAGATTTATGTTCAATTTCAAAGTGCTTATAAACACATATTGTACCTTTTACCTATTTTCATATTCAACCCAAGCGTATCCGAACGTGCATGAAAAATGATCCGCGGCAGAGGCCAGTCCGGGGATTGACACATCACTGACTTAAGCTTCTGCACAGAAGCATGGCGAACTCTCTAATCTATCTGGTCTTGATTCTGTCTGTGCATTTCCTAGGGTCCATTGAATGTTCTTGTAAAATGTACACAGAAGGAGCGGATGGATACAACGTGGTGCGAGACGACAAAGGAGGTAGGCCAGTTCTCTGTAAATTACAGCTCGTATAAAACTCACAAAAGAGGGGTTTCTCTGGAAGAAATTACACCATGTTAAAAATCATTTCCATGCTGTTTTATGAAACAGGTCTGATTTTAACACAATGAGAATAGGTTCAAATGTGCTGGAAAAATCATGTACTTTAATAGTTTAGAAATATTGATTGTGATAATATTTACCACTATAATTTCTATTTTATAATGCAAGGATTTACACACTGTTCATTTATACATTGCTAGTAATGAATTAGAAACGGAATGGTAAAATCTTTATTTGTTTTTCATTTATCGGAAATACTTTTCATTTTTACACTTCAAAATCGTAAAACTGCATCAATACTGATTTTACTAATGTTCACAAACATATAGCAGCTAAAATGACAAATGAAAATTAGCATAATATATGAAAATCGTTTGACAGAGGGCGGTGTATAAAAGAAATCGGCACTTTAAGATGTGTAAATTAAAAAAAATGCTCAGTTAAAAAAATATCTAACAAAAACACAATGAATTTTGCATACATAAATCGGTTAGTGATAGATAATTCAAGGGTCAAATGAGACACAACCAGCGATTGTTCGCTGAAAGAAAAAAGATTCGAGAATTACACAATCGAGTACATTTGCATATGTGCATTTGGAATTACTAAATGTTAGCGTTTGAATGTCTGTATATAATTATTGACTTAAATTTCAGATGTACATTAAATTGAATCTCCTAAATTCATTTTACAAGAACTCCCTGACAGGGAAAATTAAAAAAAAATAACTTTGAGTCTCCAGAACGTCCATCACTACAATATATATTATGTAAATTTTGCAGTAAAATGTCGAAATAGATAAGAAGTTTGGCAATTGGTCTAAATATCATATTTCTTAAATTATTTTTTTAATTTTTGCTTGGAAGTTCATTTTTATGGATTTAATAAGTTTAATGAGGTGATTAGCCGTCAAAAATATTTATCATTCTTAATATGTTCTGTTTTTTTTTCTTGGATCAACAGTTAGTAACAAAGAGAATGTTTAACATTTGATTGATTTTATGTAGAAAACATAATTTAACAAAGGCATGAAGAGAAACAGAATAAAGTTTTGAATATAACAATTAAAACTTTCCCTTTTTCAGACATTTTTATCTTCCTTTTTATATTTGTTGACATGATGTATCATCAAAGGCGATGATAATTAATAATTCTAGTCCCCGTGAGGTATGCTCCTCTGATAAGAGAACGAACCATGTGCCAAGTGAAACCCCGATGAAGACAAATGATAATTAATTGTGTTGTTAAAACTTCAGAGATGGGCTATTTGTGCAGAGTAAGGTGAGAAATAGCGTCTGTGAAGGTGCAAACAACAAAAAGACATATCAATTAACTTTATACTTATTTATACCTCAAACCAGCACAACAAAAACTAGATTTTGTAAAAATAAGTGTAAATTATGCTACGTTTTTTTTTTATTTACCATCATAAATAGTAGAATAAGCATGCATGTGTGAGCAGTTTATAATGCTCATGATAACTGAGTTGTCCATGGCCCTAGAGCATAATATCAAAGGCCATAATATAAAAAACTACTTGTGGTTAGTCCAAGAAGAATGCTCTTCATCTTGCAGAATCTGTAATTGTTTTCTGGGTGTGCCCCAAATAATTCTTTTGACACAAGCGTTTCACAATGGTCATATGCTCTTTCATAAGCTAATAAATTTTAACAATATATCCGGGAGCGATTCTTATTTTAGATCATTAATTATTTGTAACTAAAAAATGGGGGGGGGGGGATAGACAAAACGTAGAGTAATGTTTAATAATTATTAACCATAAGAAAAGAAATAATCCACTGGGACAAAAAAGTTAACTTTAATACTTTATTCCAGTAAAGTTATGTATATACGTGGATCAGGCTGGGAGAAGTGTAGAGGTAAACGTGAATAGAACTCACCGCCACCCCACAGACTGCGAGGACTGCAAATGTCAACCGTCAGGGGATCTCCATTGTTGTATGTAAGTACATAGAGGGGGGAATTAAGATGGCCTCTGTTGCTGTCACTGTCAATGTTGTATGTAAGTACATAGAGGGGGAAATTAAGATGGCTTCTGTTGTTGTCACTGTCAATGTTGTATGTAAGTACATTGAGGGGATTAAGGAATTAAGATGGCGTCTGTTGCTGTCACTGTCAATGTTGTATGTAAGTACATAGAGGGGGAAATTAAGATGGCTTCTGTTGCTGTCACTGTCAATGTTGTATGTAAGTACATAGAGGGGGGAATTAAGATGGCATCTGTTGTTGACACTGTCAATGTTGCGATAATAAATTAAAGAGCACTGAAAATCCAAGTTGAACGCCACCATTATAAATTATGACAATAAAACCAAAGCAGCGGTCCAATTCTCAACAAAATGTATGGACTTTGAGCTTGAATACTGTTCGTTATCTCCATATCTCATTCATGAAGATCATGATCAACATCCCATTGTGATATTTAAATTGTGCATGATAAATATTAATCGGAAAAAGAAACAGGAGACATAGGGTACAAATATTTGATAGTTGGCCTGTTTCAATCATTTTAAATACTGATGGGCTTTGGACGATCTTTTTTTTTCCTTTTTTTATCTACATGTATTTATTTATTTATTTATTTATTTATTTATTTATTTATTTATTTATTTATTTACTTATTTATTTATTTATTTTTGTAGTTCTCCTGTGCAGTGATGTTTATTCATTATTGTCAGATAATACTTAGTAATATTCTTTGTTTTGCGATTATAATAGGTACGGAGCTAAGGCTGGTAAAACATCATATCCCTCAACCTGTACACTAGTTAAAGTCGGCAACTGTGATCACAAACTTGTCTTAAAATCTGACGAAAAAACGCCGTGCATTCAAGGACCTATTTATCCTCCCTCTACAACAATATCAGTTAATGCAGAGACCCGAGTTTCCAATCAAAGCACTCCCACCAGTTTACAGCGAGATCCGAAACCTCAAGGAGGGGACGGTGCAGCGGTGTCTCTAAGGTGTTTCCCGCCATTTTTGTTGCTTTTTGGTGTTCTGTCTGTAATTTTGTATTAGTTTTGTAAAACGTCGTCATGTAATTAATAAATGTCATTTGTACTCGATTTTTGCTTTAAACTAAGATATTTGTTTTCAGATAATGTATTTGAATAACGTGTAGATATGATTTTTATTTTTAAATTCTCTAACAGTAAATATTTTTTAAAATTCTTTAACACTGAAATAGTATGAATGTTTACGTCTGTTTTTAGGATAAGACTTTTGATATTTGGTGAAAGAAAACAAATTGTGATTTTGAAAAGTTTTGATTGATCGTTTTGTCAATAAATGTCAAGTACATGTACCTATACCGCATAATGTAACCCAAATAAAAAGCATAGGATTATAGTGTGTACGAATCCATTCTGACCTATTTCTGTATTTCACTCGTAGATAATCTTAGTTAGTACGTTACAGGTTTCATTTACATTGCTTGGTATCAATTCAATTTTGAACATTAATTAACTAATAAACTGGATAAAGAATATTTTTTTTAATTTTGTGATACTTCAGTTTTTACCTTTTAATCTTTAAAAAAAAAATTAGGAATCATGTTAGGGAGGTAAGTTATCATTTTGTTGTTTTATTTATGATGCTATTTATACTCTTTTTTCACATCAAAGAACGATCACTGAATGTTATAAATTAAAGATATTTTTTACAACGAAGGATAACTCTTGGAGCACAAAGCAGAAAATAAAAGCCATCAATTATGTATGTCAATTGTGTGTGGTTTTATTTCCAGAAGAAATATATATGTCATAAAAACAAGAATTCAGGTTTGATGTCTGTGTCCCGTTCTTCGAATTCTGTGTGAATTTTTGCCATCAATCTAACGCAAGTCAGGATTCGACAAAGTCACTAATATTTTTCATACAAGCAGGTCTTTTACATAGAATCATATAAAAACTTTCCTGCAAACTACTTGTATTGAAAATATTTTTTTTTATAAAGAACAAAAACGATTTACAGGTTTGATGCCTATGTCTTGTTCTTCCTGTGGAGTTTTACTTTCAATTTAACGTAATTGAGGTTCCGACAAAGTCACCATTATTATTCATATAAGCAAGTATATATATATATTAGTCACTGCAAACTATTTGTACTGAAAAAAGGACAAAAATGATGTATATAGATTTTGTACAATAACTATTCAATAAAATGATTATGAAAAAAGTTTCTTTTTCGATTTTTTAATACAAGTTGAAGACTTAGTGTAAAACTAGATCAAATAGTATGTGTTTTTTCTAATTCCCAAGCTACTTCAGGATGCACCCATAAATGAAGATAACGGTAGGAAGACTTAACAAAATACAATGTCACCAAGTAAAATGTAGATGTTTCACATAGAAAACCAATGTAGATGTTTCACATAGAAAACCATCCATAAGTAGTCGAGTTATATGAAATCTTGTTTATTCTATGAAGCCCTCTTCCTAGAAAAACAAGGTTACAATTTCCTTTTCAATTAAAGTGTACAAATTATAAAATGTCGCGACTCTCGTCAAATTTTGATTTCTATGAGGGAGGCTCGGCTTTATATCGACATAAAGTTCTTTCATTTCCGCAATTTAATTTAATCGAGTTTTATTTTATTATTAATTTTTTTCTTCACCAGCATGATTATTTGAAAAATATCAGCGCATTCGCAGAAGAGAAACTGTTCTCTAACATTGTGTGATGCATTTCCAGGGTTTCTCTGCCGTACAAACAGAGTGTCATACACTTCCTGAGTTCTCTCTATTACACATTGACTTCGCTAACGCACTGGCGGATTTAGAAGGGGGCAGCCCCTCCCCCTTTTTGTGTCCAAAATATACATAAGATTTAATAAATCAATTTTTTGGTGTGGCCGTGGGTCCCTACCCCAACTTCAAACTACCCCCCCCCCTTTCAAGATTCCTGGAACCGCCACTGTAACGTTCCCGTGTTCACTTTTGAATGCCTTCATAAGCAACGAAGAAGTACAATCATTAGGTCTTGACTTAGAGGAGCTACAAAACTATGATTTTGGGCATAATTTATGCCTCGTCTTGCTATATTTATTTTTTTTTATTTTTCTAATCAGCAGAACAAAACCTTTGTTCTTTTATTTTATGAACTGAATTCTGTCGAGAACATTAATTAAAATAATGTTTATGATTCACTGTAATGTTTAACAACTATTACAGATACATCAACATATCTAAGATTTTCTCTTAATGAGCTCAAAAGAGGGGTTTGAGTTTTTTGCTTTTGTTTTTGTTTTGTTTTTTTTTTTTTGTTTTTTTTTTTTTTTGTTTGTTGTTTTTTTAGCATTACAAATGTGATAATACAGTAAATATTCAGAGTTTAATTGACGGATCACAATTTTTGCCATTTCAGCTCAAGCACAAACTACCGTCTTTATGCTTCATTGCACTTGGTTTTCTATTACTAATTATCAAAGACAATAATTTAGAATGATTGAATAATTATGATGATAATGGCTGCGTTTTCACTTTATAAATTCCAAAAAAAGTAATGACGTGAAAAAGATAGGTAGTTTGTTTTTAAAATTAGTTGTAAGATTTTATGTTCGAGTGTCGAATTATATGTAATTGCATATTATTTCTAAGGTATAATTTGTTTTGCAATGTTAAAATGAAAATATTGCATGCTGAATTTATATGTAGTTTTTTTTTCCGAGGGTTAGATGGGTTTTTGTTTGCTTTTCGTTCTATCAGAAAGAGTATACTGCTATATGTAATCAGCTTAGGTGTTCTTGTATTTCTTATCTTTATTGCTTACTGCAATATCTGTTTCAATCCTCCACTACCGATGCACATGCTTCACAAAATTTGAAAAAATGGCTTTTGGAAACGCAATGAGCACTTCAAAAATAGTCAGATGTCCATTTTACAGCCTAATACACGCAGTCTAGGCGTACTGTCACAGTAATTCAATCTGTTTTCAATCAGACGCTTTTTTGCACTTCAAAGCTAAAAATGTAAGATATGTACAATATCCGGAGGTATCACTTTTGCATGAAAAATATTAGGTTTTCTTTTTTATGTGTGTCTCCGCTGGATTTGAAAAGAAATGATTTAACATATATGTTAGAAAAGAAATATAACCATAAATTATTTAGATCTAACGTAAGAAGCATGCACTTAGTTGCCGTACTTTTAACGAATATTGCATTTAGATTATGTTCAATTTCGAAGTTTTAAACTCATATTGTGTTTTTAACCTATTCTAATATACAAAAAAGCAGGAAAAGAAGGAGGAATAACGCAAAATTGTTCTGCGTTTATGCAGAGAAGCATGGAAAAGTCCTTTATCTATCTGATTTTGATTCTTTCTGGGCATATCCTGGGTTCCATTGAATGTTCCTGTAGAATCTCAATGGCAGAGCTGGTGAAAAACGACAAAGGAGGTAGGTCTATTTACAGTAAATAACAGTTCGTCAAGAAGGGGGTTTACAGGAAATTACAGATAGTAAAACTCTCAAAATGGGGTTCAATCTGAAATGTTCTTTCCATGTCAAGATAATTATGTTCACCAATTTCTGCACCATGAATGAAAAAGGTGAAGATAACAAACAGTGATCGATCTCAAAATCTTTTAAACAATACAAATTTGTGAACAGGGGATTAAAGATGGACCCCTGAAAATACCAGAGGTCGGATCAGATGCCCAGGAGGCGAATACATTCCTTGTTGACCGATCAAACCATTCGTTAACCCGATGTATCGGTCATGCATGAAATTGGAATAACCCTTAGTCAAATTTAATTTAAAAACAATGGTTTCCATTGGTAAGAAACTTATCAGTCAAAACACGAACCAGTGATAAATTGTATTTGCAAATAAGGTCATTATAACGACCAGTGAATTTTTGAAATGCTGAATTTAAATAAGGCTGTTCAAATCCTGTAATATCAACTTATTTGTCAGTAGCCTGGTAGTAAAAGAATTGATCGTACTCAGAGAATACTCTGTTTGGAGACTAAAACACCATATGCAGGTGATATTGGAATATTACTATGAAAATAGGGAAAGCTGAAGATTGCAAAGCTGAACGTGTCTTGTTTTAAGTTCACTGGGATATATCAAGTAGTCTTACATATTAAGGAAAGTAACCGTTGTTAATTGATGAAACGTCCTCGATATATCTAAATGTCGAGGTGAAGGTCACAATAAGAGTTTTCTTCTCATGTAGTAGTTTGTGAATTAATTCTGCTTCATATGAATATAAAAACAGGTTGGCTAATACAGGAGCATAATTAGCGCTCGTCAGTATTCCAACAGATTGTTGGACGATCTGTTCCCCAAAGACTACATAGATTGTCAATGAGGTATTCGTGCATTCTTTTAATAATCGGTATCAGCGTACTTGTGTGTAGATTCGGATTCAGATTAATTCTTAACAATCTTATTTTGTTGATGAATTATTACAAGATATAATATTTGGCGATTTCCTTTGTTTTTAGCATCAGCATATTTTTTTCATTGATCGTGGGGAATAGCAGTATAAAGTGTAGAAAAGTATATATATAACTGAGTTATGAAATAAATTCAAATTTAGCTCAATGAAAATGATTTTCTATTGTTCCGAAAAAGTTCATTTTACTGATATACGTATTATAAATTAAGAATATTGAATTATGAGTGTATGATATAGACTATAAAACTTCTTTGCTACTGTGATTTTTCCTGTATAATGCATGGTTTTAACTCACTCCGACGCTATATTTTTATATTGCCAAGAGGATTTTATATAAACAGAGGAGAATGAAACCTTTTATTTTTATATATATATATTTTCACAATAACATACCAATACAATATTTAAGCTATCTGAAGAAAAAATATGTACATTGTTTCCTTCATGTTGTAGAATCCACTGTTTTTGGTGTACTCCATGTGTTTTGTTGTACCCCAATTTTTCTAACACAAGCTGATCACATCATTAAGTCAAATGCTGACTGACGTTTGTCATACTTATTGTTAGGCCATTATTTACACACTGAATTGGCGACGAATTTTTCCATTATTTCCCGATCATGACAAGGAGCACACAGCGGGTGTGACCGGTCGGCAGCTGATGCTCACTCCTCCATGGCACCTGATCCCACCTCTGATGTTTTAGAGTCCGTGTATGCTCTGCCCCAAAATTTTTATTGTTTAATGGACCTTTGAGTTTGATACTGCTTGTTATCTCCATACATTTCATCGTCATATAATTATAATTCAATTTTAGTTGGAACACGTCATTTGATTGGATAAAAGATTTTGTTTATATCGTATAACATAAGATGCCTACGTCATGATGAGTTACATCAAAAACGTATTACTCCGCTTGACGTTACTTTTAAAAATTTGCTCAATTTGAAGCCATTTTTGGAGGAAAACATTGTCTTAAGGTCTACACTGAAATTAAATTATAAGGAATGAAGTTTATTTCATCCTATGTTATACGAAATAACATAACTATGTATTATCAGGAAGATGGGACATTCCATAGTCAAATTTTGGTATAAAAACGAAAGCCTAACAATTGGTACAAAAGGTATCAGCCAAAATATGAACAATTGATAGGTTATATTAATTTTGTTAATAAGGTCATTATAACGACTAGAGAATTTAAC